TTACCGGTCATCTTTTTAAAAAAAAAAAAAAAAAAAAAATGACAGCAAACATCACACTCAGGAAAGTATCAGGAGTTTTTCCTTTGATACTGGGAATGAGGCAAAGATTCCTATCACCACATTGTACTAAAGATGCTAATCAGTGCAATAAGACAATAAAAGAAATAAAAAGTATAAGAACTAGAAAGAATAAAATTATTTGTGAGCAACATGATTGTGTTCTAGAAAATGTAAAAGGCTCTACAAACTTAGAATTAAGTAAACTTAGCAAAGTCAGTGTATACAATGTTAATATGAAAAATAAACAAATCCCAGGGTTTGTGTCCTGTACTGCCCAGCTGCTAAACAAACAAACAAACAAACAAATACGTTCTATATACTTGTGACAAACAGAAAGTGAAAACTTTAAGATAATACCATTTGGGATGCATCTACTAAAAGATGGGAAAGATGACATTGAAAGCAATGAAAGAGAAATTAAAGTGGGTCTAAATAAAGGAAGGGGCACACCATGTTCATGGATTGACTCAATTTGTAAATATGCAAAATAATACATGAGGCATACCCAATGCCTTTCAAACAAAAGAGAACAAGCAAAACCTGATCAAACTTTAAAAATAGATCTTAAGATAGCATAATTATGGGTAGAGACACAATTTTCTAGACACGATATTGGCAAAAGGCATGATTTTCTGAAAAGATATAATATAGCCCACCTTTACATGAAAGTTTAGAATCGTTATATCACAGTAGGTGTGAGTACAGGGAGGGGGTCAGTCTTGGAATGAAGGGACTGAAGCTTCTGATCAGAGGGGACACTGTTGGACGGATGGTGGCGTGGGACCACGGCTGCTGTGTGGCCAAGTAATGACTTCGGCTTTCACACACAAAGAGTGGAGTACTGGAGGGTTCTGAGCAGATGAGAGCTGTCTACTTTTTTATTTTTATTTTTTATCATCTTCACCATTTTTAAGTTCACAGTTCTTTGGTATTAAGGACATTCACAGTGTTGTGCAACTGTCACCACCATCCATTTCTGGAACTCTTAATCTTACAAAACTGAAACTCTACAGCATTAAACAATAACTTCCCGTTTCCTGAGCCCTAGCCCCTGCACCCCCGTTCTACTTTCTGCTTCTAAGAAGTCGACAACTCTAGGTACCTCATATAAGTGGAATCACACAGTACCGCATTTGTCTTTTTGTGACTGGCTTATTCACTTAACACGATGTCCTCAAGGTCATCCATGTTGTAGCAGGTGTCAGAACTTCCTTTCTTCTCAGGGCTGACCAGTATTCCGCTGTACGGATGTGCCACCGCTTTGCTTACCCATTCATCCAGAGATGGACACTTGAGTTGCTTCCACCTTGTTATGAGCTGAATTATGTTTCTCCAAAATTTATATGTTGAAGTCCCAACCTCCAGTAACTCAGAATGTGACTGTATTTGGAGAATAGGTCATGAAAGAGAAGTGATTAAATTAGAATGGGACCCTAATCCAGTAGGACTGGTGTCCTTGTAAGAAGAGAGAGAGACACGATGGATGTGCCCACACAAAGAAAAGGCCATGCAGGGACACAGGGGGAAACCATCCCAAGCCAGAGAGAGGTCTCAGGAGGAGCCAGGCTGCCAGCACCTGAACCTTGGCCTTCCAGCCTCCATGACTGTGAGAAAAGAAATGCTTGTGTTTCAGCCCCAGTCTGTGCGACTTCGCTGTGACAGCTGCAGCAAGTTAACACGCGCCTTTCAGCTGTTGTGAATACTGCTGTGTGAACACGGGCACACACGTGTCTCCTGGAGACCCTGCTTTCAGTTCTTTTGGGTGTATACCCGGAGGGGGATCGTGTGCTAATCTTACGTTTGCCTTCCCGAGGGAGCCCCTGTCCTGATGTCCACAGCTGTGGTTCAGTCTTACAACCCACCAGCATCCATAACATGGCGCAGACACTCCAATGTCTGCACGTCCCCAGCAACATTGTCACTACCTGTGTATTCTCTTAACAGCAGCTGGGCTCACAGGTGTGGGGTTAGGGCCTCTACTTTTAACAAGGGTCTCTCTGGTGCTGAGTGGAGAGCAGGGTGGGCAGGGTGGTGCTGGGAGGCGGCCAGGCGGCCAATGTGTCCCCTGCGGAGATGACGGTGGCTCTGGGCAGGCAGGAGCAGTGCAGCAGGCAGAAGAGGACCAGAGAGATGTGAAGGTGGGAAAGGTGTGGGGCCCAGGGGTAAGAGTCAGGGACGGCTCCGAGTCTGGGGGCTGAACAGCCAGAGGATGGAGGAAGGGACGTTTCCCAGCGTGTCCTCAGGCCGGAACAGGAGGCAGAGGCCTCCCCACCCCATTCATTGGTGGAGACCCCCTTTGCGCTGTGTCCCCCTGGCTGTGGGTGGATCACCCTCCCAGGCCCCTGCACCCCCACCACCCCTGCATGCAGCTTATGGCACCAGAACCGCCTCGGGAGGGACCGCAGGGTGAGGGAGGCCGGCATGGCTGTTGGGGCCGGTCCTCCTGCAGCCACCCACAAGCGCCCCAGCTGTGTCCCCACGCCCAGGGCCAGCACGGGCGTGCCAGCAGACGCTGGGAGGGGCTCACTGATCAGGGGCTTGGCGGGGCTCCCTGCTGAGCCGGCTGCCACCTGCTGCGCACCTGGCTGGGAGGAGCGGGCAGCAGTGACACCTGCCGCGCCACCCTGCTGCGTCCCGCTCCTCCCCTGCCCAGACACCCGGGCTGTAGAAGACCCTGCGGCGGATGGTGGAGGAGCTGCCGGGCCAGGTGGGCAGCGTGGCCGCGACCTTACCCAGCAAGTACCTTAACACCCCCCCAACCCCGAGTCTGACCCTACCTCTAAAGTGTCACATGCAGAACAGGACGAGAAACCATGTCACAAGCTCCCACGTTCGACCCCCCAGAACCAACAGCTGTCACCCGTGCTGTGTTTAGTTTTTCGTTCTTAGGCAACTGATGCTCAGGCCGTCGCCGCAGCCTGCTCCTCCCCCGGCCCTGCTGCCCGGGCTTGGTGCCTTCCGGCCATCGCCACACCTCTGCGCCCACTGGGACGTGCCGGTGTGTCACGCCGCAAACGCTGGCAAGAAGTAGCACGGCTGCGTCTTACCCCTTCATGTGCGTCTCGCGGGGCTCGTTGCTCTGGTCTCCCTGACCTGCCTCCAGGCCGGATGGCCCCGGCTGCTGGGAACCTGGCCGTGGTCCCACCTTTGCCTGGACCAGGTTTTACCCTCCCCTGAGGCCCAGGCCTAACCATCAGCGATTTCTGCACATCCCTTTGTGGCCAGCACGGCGGGCGGTGGCCTGACTGTGTGCATCAAGGACATCTCCCTCCCATCACCCAGGGTGGCTGAGGGCTTGGGGGACGCTGCGGAACACAGGAGGGCACCTGGGAAAACACGGTGGACACCACATCCACATCCCAAAGGCTCTGCACCCAGGGTGGGAGCACAGGCCAAGTCATGGGGAGGACCTAAGTCACACAACTGCCCCACCCCGCCGGCCTCCTGTCCCAGAGCCTGGGGACAGTCATATAGCACTATTACCTCTGAGGCGTTGGCCGTGCTCCTGTAAGAGCACCCCTTCTCTGTCCTGGGGGGGGCTGTGTCGATCAGGACAGTGCTGTCCTCTTCTTGAGCCTGCCGCCGCAGCCTCCCGCTCCTGTACTCGAACGAGGCCAAGGTGGGACAGGGGAGGTCAGAGAGGGGACATGTGAGACCCAGACCCGGTACCACCGCACGGCCCACAGAGAGTCATGTTACAGGTGAGGAGACAGGTGAGGAGCAGCAGGACAGGGTCAGCACCAGGGCCAAGCCACAGCCCCGGCTGCAAGCACATGAAGGTCTCCCACACCAGGCCACTGGCTGCAGGACAAAACCAGTGAGTCAGACGGAGTCTTGGAGGGCGCAGCGGCTGTCCGTCTGTCCGTCTACCCAGTGAGTGCCTGAGTACCCCTGGCCCTGAGTGCTGTTCACTCTGCATGGGCCAGTTGGGTCTGAGAAGGCCCAGAAAGATGGGCTTAGAGTGCACACCCCTTTCCTTCCTTCACACGCAGGGCAGAGCCCCCGAGCCGATGGGGACAGATCTTACCCTTCAGTCTCCCACCTGTGCTGTACAGCTCGAGGACCTCATGCTGGGACCGCCCGTCTTTGTCAAGTTTTACAGCAGGGATGTTCCCTGTACTCATAACATGAATTAGGAACTTTTCTATCCATTAATGCCATTGGGATTCATTGTTTCTTGGACCCAGAACCCTATTAAAAAATAGTCCCATTTTTTCCTAATTCCTCCTTGGTTATTGGTCTTTTCAGAATTTTAACTCATTTTGATATAATTTTTCTTTTCATATAAATTGTCCATTCCATTTAAATTTTGAATAGGATTTTCCCACAATTTAAAAAGTACTCGTATCTCTGTGGTTATTAATATCTCTTTTCTCATTCTTAACGTTGTTTGTGTTTTCTTTTATCTGTTTGACAAACTTGCTAGATTTAGTTCGAACTATATAAAATTGACATATACAGAATATTGGCAATTTCAATCTATATTTTCTTTCAATTTCCTATTTTCAATTTTTTGTATTTTGATTTTTAATATCTAATTTTACTTTATTAATTTCTTCATCCTATTAGAATTACAAAATTTTTTTTTCTAATTTCTTCAGAATGCCAGAACAATCTCAAGAAATGTCTGTCCTCTGCTCAGAACCTTTCAGAAAACGCTCCCATCTCAGAGGCCAAACACAGAGTTCTCTCGCTGTGCCCCAAAGTCAGCGGGTCCTGCTCTGGCCCCCCATCACCCCCACCGGGTCGGCCACAGGGGCCCCGCTCACCTCCTGCTTTACTCGAGTCCTTCGCGAGCCCATCCGAAGCGCACACGACCACCTTCTTACTGACCGTGCAGTCGGCTCACTGTGTAATGTACCCCCGTCTGCACTTGAAGCCTACAAGGGCAGGGATCTTTAAAAATCTGTTTTGTTGATTGACGTATCCCAAGTACCTAAGAGTGAGTGGCATAGAACGGGGGCCACGCACTTACTGGGTGAAGAATAAATAATGAATTGTACCATTAAAGTTTCTCTCCCTCATTCATTATTAATACTGCCACCCCTGCTTGCTGCGTTCTTCTTTCTAGAAACTGGCCTCCCGTCCCTTCCCTTTGTTTGGGGGCTGTTTCAGACTCAGGTGGGGAGGGTCCTGGTTCCTCGCCGCTCTCTCTGCCTGGAATGCTCGCATCAGGGATGCCAGTGAGGCACGTCTCTGGCCTGATCTTTTACCTTTATCTCCTCACCCGCTCCCCCAGCCCAGTGGAAGTTTCTGGGGCTATGGGCCTCATTTGGTTTCCCTGAGTCTCTGCTGGGCAGTGTGGGCCGTTTCCATTTCCCGCAAAGGCCTGGGCTCAAGTCCTTTTGAGGTTTGGGGCGTGTGCTGGGCCCCTCTGCAAGGACTCCAGCATTGTGCCTGGAGTGCCCTTTCAGACGGGAGGGGCGGCCGGGTCACAGGGAGAGAACCCCCGGACACAGCCACCTGTGCTGCTTCCTGATCTTCGGGTGTGTGGTGGGTGGCCAGGACTACACGCGGCCACCCCTCGTCCCAGGCTCCGGCTGCTGCCCTTGCCCTTGGCCGCATGCCTGTCAGCATTCCTGTCTTCCTTTTGATTTGTGGGAGCTCTTTCTAGCTAAAGTGACCCTTACCAAGTTAAAACACTATGGACATCTTCTCTTAACCCACGATGTGTTGTCTTGATCCAGGTGTTGTTTGTTCTACAGAAACATTTACTTTTACTGTGGGAGCTCTTTCTAGCTAAAGTGACCCTTACCAAGTTAAAACACTATGGACATCTTCTCGTAACCCACGACCTGTTGTCTTGATCCAGGTGTTGTTTGTTCTACAGAAACGTTTACTTTTATGTAAACAAACCCATCAAAGTCTTGTTCCACGGTTGTGCTTTGGGAGTTTTGCCAAGCTCTT